TTTAGAAAGAAAACAAAATATCTTTTGTCACAGAAATTAAATGGGTTTTGCAAAATGTGAAAATTTGTATTATTAAACAAGTTCCCTACAGTGCATTCAGAAATGTGAGTGGGTGTTAAATATTCCAAAAAACACAGTACACTTCTGAAACAAAAGTAGATTCAGGCAGAACACTGATAGGAGGGACAGGCCTGAATGGATGCATTTGTGCATTAAAGATGATGTAAGTGTTATATGTGACACATGTAACTAATCTATAGAGCATATTGTCTAGCCAGGTGGGACTCTAACTGAACCACACTGTGCATAAACAGGCATTAGACAAAAATGTGCATCCCTATAATTCTTTATGACTTGCAAGGGTACCATTTAATACAAGCCTAATTTTTTTTAGTGTATACTGTATCTTAATCTTCTAGTCATGTGTAAATGGAACATTTGTGCTGCTTACAAATTAACACATTGTTAACCATGAAGTAGTGCATACAATCCCTTGTAAATACCACAGGCACCAAGTATTTTCATATTTTAACCCACAATTGTTCTGTTATAGACAAAGGTGCAGTTAGGGTTGGCTTCTGTCTAGTTTTGAAATGGACAGTCCAGTTTTTATAACTACTGTCCACTTCTTGGAAACCTAGAGAATTTAAGGCAGAAAAAAGACTGAATGCTCCAGCGAGTCTGCCCGTTTGATTTTGTTGTTGTTTTTTTTTTTTTTGTTAACATTTTTGAGTATAGATCTATGTTTGTCCCAGGCATGTTTAAAGCCAGTTACTGTTGACTGGCTCACTACCTCTGCTGGAAGTTTATTCCAAGCATCAACTACCCTTTCAGTAAAATAATACTTTCTAAGATTTGTTAGTTTAAGGCAGTGTTTCTCAACTCCAGTCCTCATGGACCCCCAACAGGTCATGTTTTCAGGATTTCCCTCAAATGAAACAGCTGTGGTAATTACTAAGGCAGTGAAACTGATCAAATCACCTGTGCAAAATAATGGAAATCCTGAAAACATGACCTGTTGGGGGTCCATGAGGACTGGAGTTGAGAAACACTGGTTTAAGGTCATGTCTCCGTGTTGTTGATTTTGGTTTCGTATTAAAAGTACTGCCATCCTGAACCTTATTTACACCCTTGATGTATTTAAAGGTTTCAATCATGTCTCCCCTTTGACTTCTTTCTTCCAGAATGTACTTATTAAGTTCTTGAAGTCTCTCCTGATATGTTTTATCCCTCAGGCCTTTCACCATTTTTGTTTCCCTGTCACTGGACTCATTCTATTTTGTGAATATCTTTTTGTAAGTGAGGTCTCCAAAACATTTATTTATTTATTTATTTATTATCTTTTTGTAAGTGAGGTCTCCAGAATATTTATTTATTTGCTATGTATAGAGTCTGATGAATGCCCTCCCCAGCTTCTGCTTAGCCTGATGTAATTGAAGGATCCAGCTGCCAGTTTTAGAGCCTGGTCATGCTGTGTGTTTCAGAAGTGCAGACAATGGCTTTTATTTGACTAAGGTCTGCAGACACAGTTTGTAGGCCTCATTCATAGGCACAACATCATCATCAAAATTAACATAATTACACCAAATTTTATTAGATCCAGGAAACTTATAAGTGTAAAAAATATATTTTTGCTAGAACATTTTTTTTTTTTTTTTCACAATTGAGGTTTATTAAGAATATTTTTTTTACAACATAAACATATTGTACAAAATTAGAATGTATGAAAAACAATTTCTTGTTGGTAGGGTCCAGCCCAGACTATTTTTAATTTTACAGCGAGAAGGATATGAACCTTGTTGCAAATTTGATCTTACTTCCTGTCTGGTAACTCTATTATCACTGTGACAGAAAAAGAGAGGAAATCTCTTAAAAGGAAAACCCCATGGCAGTAAAACCCTGACAGGGCTCTGATCATTCCCACTCTATCCAACCTTACAGCATATAAAGACATTTTGGCTGTATTCACACTTCAATGCCCAACTTCAGCCAAAATCATATTTTGCCTTGGAGAGATTAATGGTTAGAGCTTCATATTTTTTTGCTGCTTTTGTCCCTGTTGGTGAGTTCTCCCATTACTTCCTATCACTATAAGAAGTAATGAGAGATATCTTCATAAAAGACACAGACAAATACACATCCTAGTAGAATGAGGAAGGGTTAGAACGTACGATAGTGTTTTTTATTGCTACCGACACCATCTAGTCCCAATGACATCTATACCTCCTGTTTCTTGTACAGATGTCACAATGACAGGAAGTGAGGGAAAATCTCCCCAATGGTTGAGAAAAAAAAATAACAACAGACATGTTACCTCTTCCCCATTATGTTCAAAAGTAAAAGCCAAATACTTGGTTGGAGTTGGGCTTGATCTTACCTTAGTCTACTTAAAATTTTTTTTTTTTTAATGTTGTCTCCCCATTGGAAGAATTTATTCTCATTTCTCATTCTATCTCACACCTGCCAAATAGATAAAAAGTAAATGGAATTTTCCCTCAAATTGTGTAAGGAGTAATCATGCAATAGTGGCACAAACAGCAGTATGGAGCTGATAGAGGCTTTTGCTCATCCCACTCCACTACCATTGGACTTCACTTTAGAGCTAGAAAGCTCAGTAACAGAGGCAGAATTCATTCAAGTCATGGATTTCCAAAAACATATGCTGAGGGATTCAGATGCTGCCAGTGCTATCTTCCTCCTGTCTTTGGTTTCAATGCCCTTTGGGTCACTGACCAAGAACAGACATGCATCCAGAGAAGTCAGAACAAAATCACAACATCTGCAAACCTGTTTCAGGTTAGCCACTATGAAAGTATTTCAGACAGAGGAGCCCAAATTATCCAACGTTTGCAGGTCATCAAATACTTCTTTTATATGTATTCTTTAATTCCAGCTTACAAAAAGTGTTTGTGGGAATTTTAATCTTTTACTCTTCTGTGACACAGCTAATTGCTTCGTTATGTATTGTCCCATATCAAATATGTATTTCTTTATATCCCTCCAAGGGAAAAAGAGCAGCATTACAATCTGGATGTTTAACCTATCCCTACATAAACCACTGCAAACTGTCTTTATTACATTAAAAATGCATTTAATATGTTCTGTCTGTGTTATAATGAAGCCTTAGGCTTACCAGAGATACACTTTAATAAGTAATAACTACTGTCAAAGGAGACTTAAGTTTTCTTTAATCAGGCAATTTAGGGGTAAACTAAGAAGAGCCCTTAATTAGTAATTATAAGAATCAACTCTTGTTGCTAGAATGAAAAGCTTTTCGGGTATTTATATTAATATTTTGATCTTCTGCACTGCTGGAACAATTTTGTAATTATCTGTCTCCAGACACATTACTGGAATACTATGTAGTACCATTTTTAATAATAAAATCAAATATTTACATTTTAGTAGACTTCACTGATGTAACTTCTATTTCAGAATTATGTATGTATGTACAGTATGTATTGTGGGGTTCAGCTGCAAGTAGAGAGCTCTCAGAGAGGAAATTCAAGCCACATGTAGGGTTAAGGGCTTCCTGCCTTTGTTTATTGGTCAGAGTGTACGGCAAACAAAAGATTCCCACATAGAGGTAAGAACCACAGTTCAAAAAACAAAAGTCCAGCAAACAGTTATTAAGCCTCCTGGCTAATAAATAGACCTCACTGGGCCTGCTCAAGTCTTGCAGATAGGTTACCTCACAGCCTGCTTGTCTCCTTTTTCAACACCACCACAAATTAACCCAGGGAAAGACAAATTATACCCCTGGTGTGGAGCAAGGTGTAGTCAGTGCTTAAGCCCCTGCCTCCTGCTCAAAGCCTCTCAATGCCATCTATTTACCTTATGGACCACCAAATCCTATGCAGCAGATACACTTCATGCACAACTGACAGGGGCTGTTTGTCACAGAATGTATGTATGTGGAGGAAGAGCAACATATTTTACTTATGACATCAATCTTCAAAAGCCAATGAAACCTTTCTATCCATGTTTCATGCTACACCCACATTTAAGGTTTAATATGAAACCTGCTCAAAGTCCATAGCCCCCCACCCTCAAACTTCCCCGAACTTACAGAGTACACGGGTTATCTTCCCTGACGACCTCTGTGAGATTTGAAATTGGTTTGGCTGTGCACATACTGTAGCTGCATCATTCATATACAGGAATCGGTGATTGAAAAAATACAGGTCCCATTTGCCAAGTGTGGTGATGTCAACTCACTTGCAGTCCATTGATACTTCCTGCAGCTCAGTAGCTAAAGTTTCATACCCCATGAGCTGGAGAAAGAGTCTGCAGGAGACAGCATCTCAAATGCAAAAAAAAAAAAAAATTAATGGGTGCAATTTTTATTTGTATTGCTAACGTGAAACTCTCCCTTAAAGTGGAACTTTAGCCTGAAAATTAAGCCCTGTCAGATTACTTCAGGTTGGCCCATTTTGCAGGTATGGCTATGCAAAATATTAAAAATAAGTGCCTATACAATGTAAGACCCAGTAAAACACTCTCTGCTCTGCACATGCTCAGTTGCTCTCTATTTTTCAGCACTGTGACAAAAATGTAGAGACCAATCTGCTGACAGCCTAAAGATTTACTACTGCTCGAGGGCTCTGGGCTTCAGCAAAATGGCAGCCTTCAACAAGAAGATACAGGAACAATGCTGAAGGTAATTTACCGGCAATTTACAGCACACATTCATTTTGTTAGCATAATTATTAATGTGGAATGTACTGTATGTTTCTTGCTAAAGAACTTTTTTTTTTAATTTATCAAGTTGTTATGGGTAATGTTCCGCTTTAACTCTAGCTAGATGCTCGAGTTAAATATTGTGTTATTCATTCCAGTAATCCTCACCTGGTGTCTTAAGGGCCATACAGAGCCCCATGAAATTGAAAATGGTTGCTATTTATTTAACCACCTCCCGCCCGCCATATAAGGTAATGACGGGCACAAGGCGGTTCTCTTGTTCTAGGAGGACATCATATGATGTCCTCCCACCCTAACCATGCGTGCACAGCTCTGGGAGTGCACAGCACGGTGATCGGTGGTGCGCTGTGTCCCTCGGACACAGCGCATCACCAATCAACGGAAAGCGCCGAAGATGTCAGCTCTGTCATGTGATCAGCTGTGTCCAATCACAGCTGATCACATGTAAATAGGGAAATAGCGGTTATCAGCATTTCTCTCCTCACGAGCTGTCACGCTGACAGAGGAGAGGAGAGCCGGTAATCAGCATCCCTCGGAGGGGACATGTACACTGATCATCAGTGATGATCAGTGTAGCCCCAGCAGTGCCACCTGTTAGTGCCCATCAATGCCAGCTGTCAGTGCCCATCAGTGCCACCTGCCAGTGCCCATCAGTGCCTCATCAATGCCACATATCAGTGCCCATCTGAGATGCCTTTCAGTGTCACCTATCAGTGCCAGTCAGTGCTGCCAATCAGTGCAACCTAGCAGTGCCAGTCAGTGCCGCCTGTCAGTGCCGCCTATCAGTGAGCATCAGTGCCGCCTATCGGTGCCTGTCAGTGCTGCCTATCAGTGCCGCCTAACAGTGCCAGTCAGTGCCGCCTATCAGTGCTGCTTATCAGTGCCGCCTATCAGTACCACCTATCAGTGCCATTTATGAGTGCTGCCTTTCAGTGCCCATCAGTGATGCTGTCAATGCCCATCAGTGCCACTTACTAGTGCCTCCTTATCAGTGCCTATCATCACTCCATCACTGCAGCCTCATTAGCGCACATCAGTGAAGGAGAAAAATCACTTATTTACAAAATTTTAAAACAAAAACTAAGAAAAAACTTTTTTTTTTCAAAATATTCAGTGGTTTTTGGTTTGTTTAGCAAAAAATAAAAAACCCAGAGGTGATTAAATACCACCAAAAGAAAGCTCTATTTGTCTAAAAAAAATGATAACAATTTTATATGGGTACAGTGTTGCATGACCGCACAATTGTCATTCAAAGGGCGACAGCACTGGAAGCTGAAAACTGGCCTGCACAGGAAGGGGGTATAAGTGCCCTGTAGTCTAGTGGTTAAAGTATATGTTTAGCCACATTTTTTGTATGTTTTCGATTGACTAGGGAAGGGATTGAACCCAGTTTGCCTGGCAGTTTATTTATTTATTAATAAACAAATCTCTACAAAGTACCCCCCCCCCAAAAGATATTTTTTAAAATGAGACTTCCTCACTGGAAAATTTGTATCCCCATTTATAATAGCTTCTTGTACTTGTGATAGCTGAAAATTCTTGAACTTCCCAAAATGTTTGGTCTTCGTAAATTTACTTGCAGGGACAGAAACAGCAGTACAAACTTGACAGGAGTACTAATCCATTCTTACTCTATCCAAAAATATTTTTTTTGGTTAACATGTACTTTAATTAATGTATTATTTAATAATGATGTTTTGTTTCTTCTCTTCACTCATTATTTACCAGTGAAATATGAGTCTACGTTTGATCATAGAGCTCATCTGTTTCTATTTATTCTTTTCAGTTACTACTAACACAGTTAGAGATGACAGTATTTCTTAAAATCTGCTTTAATTTGGCCCCTGGATCTGCTTCATGGCGTAAGTAAATATTTTCAGTAAGAAATAATCTAGAAAATTATATTAAAACTGTGATTTCTATTGGGTTTCCACACAGTTAACAGACATCCTGAAATGAAAATATGTTTTCTTTGAACCACCATGAAATCCAATAATGAAGGATTTAAAAAAAATCTTAAAGGATAAGTTCACCTTTCATAACATGTTACATGAAGTGAAGTGACTGGCCCCTACCCCACGATCCCCCATTTTGATAGCTAGCGAGGGATCTTCTCCCCCCACTAGCTATCAAAACGTTTGGCTTGACTGTATGAGGTAGGAGGACTGCATGGCATCAGCCATCTGATGATTGCTGGTGCAATGCTTTACAGGCTCCTACAACAACAAAAATTAATCAATGCACCTTTTTTGTACCTATAAAAATATGCATATTTTTTGTTGAAAGGTGAACTTATCCTTTAAGGGCTGTGCAATGTAGGAGTGGTACCAGTAGTGTAGTCATGAAGGCATTCCATCTCTTTTTTTTTTTCAAACAGCAGTAACTAAGTTAGCATGAGAAGATTGTGGCCAAAAGGCTGTAAGAGAAGAGGGGTTTAAATAGTCCATTTTTCAAATCAAGGCAGATGTGGCAAAAATAAACTGCACAAAACTGAAGAGGAAAAATCGCTTTCCAAGTCAAACATGAATTTATTCCATCTAGCAAACACAGTTCCCACCCTAGGCCACACCGCTCTGACTCATTTTCCCACACTGCATACACATACAGTATGTTTTCAAAAACAGGAATCTTTATAAGGTAAAATATACAGTAAGCGCTCATCAATAGTGGCAGCAGCTGAACATAAAGGAAAACGCATATAAAGTCCCACAATTCATATATAAAAATGCAGCGCTTGAAAAGAAAGGTGATGATAAGACACAGTCCAGTGAAAAAAAGTGCTCCGTATTTCCTAGTGCAGGTGGTAAAGATTTACACTAACCAGATAGCGTAAAATAATACGCATGTGTATATGTATCCTGTAAGTCCCCTTCTGCACTCAGATCTGGTCAAATAGATAGCCGGAAAGGATAGACATCCTACGCCCTCTTGTGGTGAAAGAGTGGTCCAGCAAGTCAGAGCGATGCCAATCAGAGTAAGCCTTCCCCCTTCACTGAAGATGACAAGGAGATCCCTTGGGGCTGTAAAAGTTGAGGAAGCTCCTGTGTTTTTTTACTGGAGTGTTGCTGTCTGTGTCCCCATTAGGGAGATTCACCCTTCCTATTTGTCCTCTTCACCGCTATCACTCCAGTTGCACCCAGTTTACGACTGTAGCCTGGTTCCTCAGGAAACCAGGCTACAGTCGTAAACTGGGTGCAACTGGAGTGATAGCGGTGAAGAGATAGGAAGGGTGAATCTCCCTATTGGGGACACAGACAGCAACACTCCAGTAAAAAAAAACACAGGAGCTTCCTCAACTTTTACAGCCCCAAGGGATCTCCTTGTCATCTTCAGTGAAGGGGAAGGCTTACTCTGATTGGCATCGCTCTGACTTGCTGGACCACTCTTTCACCACAAGAGGGCGTAGGATGTCTATCCTTTCCGGCTATCTATTTGACCAGATCTGAGTGCAGAAGGGGACTCTACAGGATACATATACACATGCGTATTATTTTACGCTATCTGGTTAGTGTAAATCTTTACCACCTGCACTAGGAAATACGGAGCACTTTTTTTCACTGGACTGTGTCTTATCATCACCTTTCTTTTCAAGCGCTGCATTTTTATATATATAGGAATCTTTATACACTTGCATAAAAAATAATACAGTTTTGAGTGCCAACTGCATTCAACAATAGAAGGTAGGCTGAAAAAGTAGTTTATGGCAAACTAGGCAAGAAATCACAAAGCTTATTTGGGAAGGTTGTTACCACTTGTTAAAGATGCTGCCTGTCATGTAGGGTACATCATCATCATGTTCTGGCAGTTGGAACATTTTTCCATTATGTCAATTATGTTTAGTTGCTGGTGCTGCTGTGGATGTTGCTTTTAGTAATTATTGACAGAGGTGGCAGGGTGACAGTGCTGTAGAGAATGGACAGGGCCCAATTATTCTAGAAGCATGGCCTAAGTGTGTGTGGAAATATAGGAGGTACAACAATTTTAATTCCCAGAATGCACTGGTAATAACCCTATCAAACACATCTGCAGCCTTCAAAAGATCAGATGAAAATTGAAGACAACTTTCTTTCTAATCTTCTGTCAAGATTTGAGGCACCATCTTTACGGAAATCTTTCTCATTCCCAAATCCTCCATTCAAATCTGCCGCAGTGTTTCTCTGTTCATGTTCAATTCTTCTGCCATCATTCACACATTCAGTCTTCCATCTGAGCATTTGAGGGTTTACACTCTGTCCACATTTGCAGCTGTTCTTTGCATTTCTGGCTACCCATGTCATTGTGAACATCTTTCAGCCTCTCCTTAAACCACCTACTGTATGTATGCCATTTAAAAACACTTGATTTCTTCATGGAAAGTTCACCATAAGCCTGTTGTAATAGAGCTAAAGTTTAACTCACACTTTTGCCAATTTTCACATACAATTTGATGTGACTCCAGATACCCATCACTCAAAAAATCAGTAATTGAAGTCACTTAGTCTTCTACATATAACAATTTATATATTTATTTTGCAGTATTCATGACACCCAGGACAAATCTTGATACATACCAACTAGTTATAATAAAGTTTATTTTCAATAATGGCAGATTGTAATATATATATACAGTTGCAAGAAAAAGTATGTGAGCCCCTTGGGATTACATGGAGGTTTGCATGAATTGGGAATAAAATGTGCTCTGAACGTCATCTAAGTCACAACAATAGAAGAACACAGTCTGCTGAACATAATACTACACAAACATTAGATGTTGCCATGGTTTAATTGCACATAACATGTACACATTCACAGTGCAGGGAGGAAAAAGTATGTGAACCTTTGGACTTAATAACTGGTTGACCCTCCTTTGGCAGCAATAACCTCAACCAAACGTTTCTTGTAGTTGCAGATCAGACCTGCACAACGATCTGGAGTCATTTTGGACCACTCCTCTTCACAAAACTGTTTCAGTGTAGCAATATTCTTGGGATGTCTGGTGTGAATCGCTCTCTTAAGGTCATGCCACAGCATTTCAATGGGGTTGAGGTCAGGACTCTAACTGGGCCACTCCAGAGGGCGTATTCTGTGCTGTTGCAGCCATTGTTTTGTTGAATTACTTGTATGCTTTGGGTCATTGTCCTGTTGCATCACCCATCCTCTGCGGAGCTTCAGTTGGCAGACAGATGGTCGTACGTTTTCCTGCGAAATGTCTTGATAAACTCTGGAATTCATTTTCCCATCAATGACAACAATCCCTCCAGGCCCTGAGGCAGCAAAGCAGCCCCAAACCATGATGCTCCCTCCGCCATGTTTTACAGTGGGGATGAGGTTTTGATGTTGGTGTGCTGTGCCTTTTTTTCTCCACATAGTGTTGTGTGTTCTTCCCAAACAACTCCATCTTGGTTTCATCTGTCCACAGTATATTTTGCCAGTAGTGCTATGGAACATCCAGGTGCTCTTTTGCAAACTTCAAACGTGCTGCAATATTCTTTTTGGACAGCAATGGCTTCCTCCGTGGTGTCCTCTCATGTACTCCATTCTTGTTTAATGTTTTCCTTATTGTAGATGTGTCAACAAAAATGTTAGCATGTGCCAGAGATTTCTGTAGGTCTTTAGCTGACACTCTAGGATTCTTCTTTACCTCATGCAGCATTCTGCGCTGTGCTCTTGCAGTCACTTTTACAGGACGACCACGCCTAGGGAGAGTAGCAACAGGGCTAAACTTTCTCCATTTGTAGACAGTCTGTCTTACCGTGGACACATGAACATCAAGGCTTTTGGAGATACTTTTGTAACCCTTTCCAGCTTCATGCAAGTCAACAATTCTTGATCGTAGGTCTTC